GTTGGTTCAGGGTGACAACAATGCTTCTCAATTTATTGTGCATGCAAGATACACCAACCACCTGCTTAAGATGGCGACTGGGTCTCAACACTGCACAATATATAGATGTTAGCCAAGTGGGTATTAAATCCACCTAGAAGAGAATCCATTAAATTACCTCCATATTCTGACCAGGAACATTTGCAAGAAGTGGTAATCCCAGATCGTTCAATATATGCATAATTTGGACCTTTCAGGTGACCTGATTTCCATTTTCATATGCTTAGTATCGTGGCTTGAATAGTTAAATCCAGGATTCTTGGACTCCCATTATCTATAGCACTATTGTCCTGCTTCTCCCCCAATGCCACAGACATATGAATTCCTTTTTTAACGTGCAAGATTAAAGACACCTTTTATACTGAAGGCCCTGTTCCAGTTTGACAGGCTAAATTCCCTGAAAAGAGACAACACTGTCTGGAAGCTTCCTGTAAAGCAGAGAAAAGCTGCTATTGTCTCCAAGCAGAAACAAGCAGCTGCCCTAGAGAAACACATCAAAATCTATGTATAGATGTATTGAATGTAGCAAAACAAACTTGAAAAGAATAACACATATCCCCTGCATTTAAAAAAAAAAAATCCTTTAGAAATACAGTATAATGTTGAATTCACTCAAAGCCATTTGCTATGATTGCAGATTTCCTGCCGATCTATCTATATCATCTTGATCTCCATCTATATCTCGATCTCATTTTTGATCTCTATTGATCTCTGTCATTTCCATCTCCATCTCTCTGTGCATCTATCTATCATATCTATCTTTACCTTCTATCTATCTATCTATCTATCTATCTATCTATCTATCTATCTATCTATCTATCTATCCCACCATCCTTCCACCTAGATACAGTACCTGTTACTGAAATTTTGTTTACATCCCTTACAGTCAATGAGACTATAGAAACAGTGGGTCTTTCAGTGTCAAAGAAGCATCAGTACATTTTTGCTGCACAATGTTTTTATTTTTATACTTAACAGAGTGAAATCCCACTGTTGTCAGCCCAGAAGGGTTTTTAAAAAAAACCTAGGTCCATAAACATCAAATTCAGGTTTCTTTCTTGTCTTCTTCTTTCAATTATCTTGAGGTTCCTCATATTTTATGAGTGGTCCTCTTGCAGTTGAAGGCATCTTTCAGAGCAGCTTTGACTTGCTTGTTCCTCAGAGTGTAGACAAATGGGGTCATAAGGGGACAAACCACATTGTTGAGAATGGCCACTGCTTTGTTGAAATTTTTCCCTTCATCTTCCTCTGGTATGAGGTACATAGAGATGCAACTGCCATAAGTGACAGAGACCACAATAATATGGGCAGCACAAGTGGAGAAGGCCTTTTTCCTACCTGCAGCAGTTGGAATGTGAAGGATGGTGGAAATTATCATTACATAGGATACTGTCGTGATTGCTAAGGTTCCCAGAAGAGAAAAAACAGAAAGGATGAAGCCAATGAGCTCCAGGAGATGGGTATCCCCACAGAGAAGTTTCAGCAGTGGTTTATTGTCACAAAAAAAATGGTCCATGAGGTTTGAGCCACAGATGGGGAATTGTATGTAAAACATAGTTTGACCAAAAATCAAGGTGAATCCTCCAGCCCAAGAAACCAGTACCAACCAAGTACAGAAATGCTTGTTCATGATGGTAGCATATCTTAGGGGGTTGCAGATGGCCACATACCTGTCGAAGGACATCACTGTCAGTAGGAAAAAGTCTGTAGTTCCCAAAAAGAAATAAAAAAACAATTGGCTTATACATCCCACGTAAGAGATTGTTTTCTTCCCCAATGCCAAGTTGATCAAGGCTTTGGGGATGACAGCTGAAGTGTATCCAATTTCCAAGATGGCATAATTCCTGAGGAAATAATACATTGGTGTCCTGAGGTGGAAGTCCACAAGAGTGATAACAACAATCAGAATGTTTCCAGCTATGGCCATCAGGTACATGATCAGAAAGAGAGCAAACAGAAGCGTCTCCAGCTGCTGATCTTCAGTAAACCCGCGAAGGAAGAAGTCCTTCATCCTTGTTTGATTCTCCATGTTATCTTAGTTGGGAGCCAACTGCTGACATGAACCCTTAGTGAGTTAATTTAGCTTTCACTGTTGAAGAATCTGAAACTGGCCAAATATCTGGAATCACCAGTAGCACCAGTTATGCCTTTGCAAAGCTGACATGTGGAAGAAGGAGTCATAATCTTTGGTTTGTTCCCTGTTAGTAGATTGTCTTCTGCCCAGCTGTGGGTTCATAATTGTAGACATTTCTTCTTCGTCTTGAATTCAGATGGCCACATGCTCCCTCTTCAGCCTAACATGCCTCTTGTGAAAATCATGGACATTGACTCATTTCTGTCTTCTTTTCTCTGCTGAATCCTTGGCTGCTGTTTAGTATTGTAAGAGTCTGAGCATTGGGAGGAATCTTTCTCAGTCTATATTTGTGTATGCCTTCCACATATATTCATATCTGTCCTTTTTATAAATTAACACCTCCAATGTTTTTCGTTCTCCTGATACAGACACCAAGGTAACTTTCTAAAAGATTGTAAAATATACAAATACTTATCAAATTATTTCAACAAAGAATCTTTTTTTGTGTGGAAGAATGTCCGATCAGACCTTCAGCTCAGATCCATATAAGAAATACTGGATTATGATAGCAACAAAAGAAGGGGCAGAGAAAAAAACATTAGCATATGATACCAGCTGTTCGGTATTATTAGAATACTTTTGTCTGTCCATCTGATCCATCAAACCCTCCCATTCCTTCTCCCTTTCATGCAGTTTTCAAATCACGTTTTTGGGAACAAATGTTGATTGTAATATGTGATCATGGATAGAGATGCTTTAAACTTGGCTCTTTTTTAACCTGGAAAAGATTATAAACATTTGGATCATATTACTAATAAACAGAAAGGTTTTGATTTCCCCTATTGCTGTACATGTTGATTAAAGTCATGCAGAAACAAGTCAGAATTCTTAACTTTCTTTCTTTGTGACCTATTAATATCAGAGCTTTTATCCAAGCAGTAGTTAAGACGTATTAGGTGCAAAAATGTGTAAATCAAAAGGGCCAGAGTAGCTGCCAGTCCTGTGAATTAACAAAGCAAGAGCTCTTGGGAATCAAAAGGGGTCCTGAAGCCCACCCGCTCCTTAACTGATCTTTGGACCAAACAAGACAGCTTCTGTCCCTCTAGCTAATGCCTAGCAGCCTAGTTCAGAAGGATGTGCGTAAGTGTGGATGAGTGTGTATGTGAGTGTGAGAAAGAGCAAATGTATAGTGTAACCAGGAATGTTTTGCTGTTCCTTTAAACTCACTGGGTCTCCCTGTATTCCAAAAAACCTGATGAGCCTCAGGGTTCGGTTGGACGGGATCTCAGGGTTCGGAGGGATGTGTGTCCCTCATTATTTCTTGGCTGTTGACCAGGGCTGTGTGTCTTGTCTGTTCCAGCTGCACTCATCTGGAAAACCCAGGTAGAAAGCAAGGGGCGCTGACAAGATGTGCGTTTCTCAACAAGCTGTGAGTGTGTGAGTGAATGACCATAAGCCGAACCTGGGAGCACTTTTAATGCACCTTTCCCATGACTATAAAATCCCTTCTTTAGAAACCATTTTATCCAAGCAGTAGTTCAGACATATTAGGTCCCAAACAGTTTAAACTAGCACCTTTTAACCACTTCTTTGTTTGTTTAATAAAAGAAGGTTTCAATCCAATTCTTTTTCAAAGTTTGCTCAATGAAAATAGCTCCATTTTCTTTTCCTTTCTTTTTTTTGGGTGGTAGTGGTGGTGGAAGCTTTTTGGAATCATTCTAGGATAAAGAGAAGGCATTTCTGCCCTTCTTCAAAGATGATTGCTTCAAAGTTTGGACCACTTCTAGCTAAAATTAGGATTGTTGCTCTGAGTATAGAGTATTATTATTGCACTGCTATCCTGTCACTTTACAACTAGCACGATGTTCGGCAAGATCCCTTTTCTTTCTTTTTTTCCCCTCAACAACCAACCAGGAGGTAAGTCAATTCAGGGAGCTCTGTAGTCCAGTGGAGACTTGAACTTGGACTTCCAATAACTGAACTATTTCACTACCGTATCAGAACATGCATTTG